TACTATTGTCATAGAAGTTGATCTCTTTTCATTAGTCGCTCCCTACAACCTCTCAACCCACCTAGAATTTTTCAATGAACACTTGGAAGCTTTATGTGACAGCTTTCCAATGGCGATTTCTTTGATCCTGCAGAAAATACAAGAAACAAAACAAATTTATCATAGGCCAATAGTCCTCAGCCAGTCTCCCCCAGAAACTCTGTTCTTGGGCCAAGACACAACCTTTACTCTATGTGACCGGGTAAATATTGCCCTGAGACGCACATGTGCTGTGCACCAAATCCTTTTCCTATCACCAGCATATATAACTTACCCTACTCACTCCCAAATATACCCTTTGCCCACTCTACCATACAAGGCCTTGTACAACGTCAATTGAGTAGTTAAAAATCCATTGTGAATTGCTATACAATATTATGAATATTTCTAGGAATCCTTGCTCCCTCGGAAAGATATAGCTTCTCTACATATGCAAGGTTGAGGCATGCGTTCTCTGCCGAAAACGATCACAGCTTACATTTCCATGTTTTGTTTGGAGTTTTACTTTTATTTAGAATGTTTAACACGGCTCCAAGCTGTACGGGTGTGCAGTGCAAATATAATGCCGCGTGTTGATCTCTTTTTCTCAAAATAGTTCAAGTTTTATGAAATATTTAAAGAACACCTAAAAATGGAAAACAAAAATAAAAAAATCATGACAGAAGCAAAGCTGAGGTTCTCAGCTTTTTCATGGGTTTACGCGTTTTTATATTGGTGGTGTATTTTTTTAATATGATGTATTTAATACTACAACTTTTATACCAAATCTGGCATATGCCCGTTTTGGTATAATTTCGACACAGTTTTATGTCAATTTCCCGAGACAGGAACATCAGATAGATGTCTTCAACGGTATCGTTCAAAAGCTGAGAACCTCAGCTTTCATCCTATACCCCCTTTCATTTTTCCTTTACAGTCCCTTTAATATGATTTTTTTTATGTTAATTGGCATAAATTTCTAATTCTGTAGAAAAGAATTTTGAAGAAATAATAACTCAACCGCTCTGACTCAATTTTCAAATGTCCGTTAGTTTGAATTATGCACATCAGGAAAAAAAAGCGTTATTTTTAAAAAATTGATCAAAGATTGTAGTCCCAATTAGTAACTTTAACTTTACTTTTTTGATTTTAATTATGATTTCTGAACCTTACTTAATAATTTGTGCTTTGAACTATTTGAAATTGTGCTATGTGCAAGTTCTATATATAATACACACATATATTGTAAATGTATTAAAGAAATACTCATTTTTTATCTTAAATTGTGTGATATTTAACCTAAAAAAGTAAAATTTTAATCTAACGAAAAATAAAATATATCTACATCTATAAATATAAAGTAGTAATTTCTGTTTGTTTTTATGTTCGATCTAATTTTGATTATGGGACTTGGGACAACCTTATCTGAATCCTAGCCTAGGGACGAATTTAAAGAATTTAAGCCGCGGCCTAAATATGGTTGGTTCCACTTCAAAATGTATTCATTGTTTCAAGATTTAAGCCGGCGCTCAATTGAAACCGGTTTTTATCGGATTTAAATTCGGACACAGGCAAAAATGGATCCCTAAGCTAGTATATATATNTAACATATATATATGAAAATCATTCATATACTGATGATTGCATAAAAGCATGAAACAATTTGTTTATGAATAAAATGTTATAAGAAGATTGTTGCGTACAGTGATCTTACCAGGAAAACTGTAGAATAAGAAGACGACATAAAAGAAATAATGGAATGCATTTGATGTTGCTGAGAAAATAGCTTAATAAGTTATTAAATCACGTATTTAAGTTAAATGGGTCTGTTAACACTGCACAATTGCTGTAACTCTCATGTTCATAGGACTATTTAAAGTCATAACTTGAGTTAAAAAGTCTACTTCCTAATCCAGAGTTTTCAGGTTATCACTTGTAATGTAGTAATCTTGAGTTTTATTGTATTCTAACTGAAGGGCCTGGCGTTATTTTATTTAACCCGCCGCCCCAAGGCTACCAATTAGTGTCCACAAAAAATTTCAACCCATTCGTTCCAGCCGCCGTTTGGACGGCTATAGGAAACATGTATACAAATGTCTTGTTTTATAACGTAAAAGAATGTCTGATTTATACATACTCACAATTGTCTGAAGTGCTTGGTTTAATATTCGTTCCCAATTAAGCTTTAAAATACAAAAATTATTTTTGTGTATTTTTACTAACTTTTTAACAATAATTTTGATGAACAGAATGACTAAACAGAGAAAAGAAAAATGTTTACAAAAAATTATTTCATTTGAACTATTTTTTTGTTCGTTTGAACTATTTTTATGTTCATTTGAACTACTTTTATGTTTATTTAAACTATTTTTATGTTCATTTGAACTATTTTATGTTCATTTGAACTATTTTTATGTTAACATTTGAACTTTTTTATGTTCATTTGAGCTATTTTTTTGTTCATTTGAACTTTTTCATGTTCATTTGAGCTATTTTTTTGTTCATTTGAACTATTTTTATGTTCATTTGAAACATTTCTGTATACTATATGTTATCTAATTAATTGTATGGTCCCTAACTTTATAATTAAAAAAAAAATCTAAAAACTGAATTGGCCTAGAAAAATAGTTTAAATGAGCATAATGTGTTGATTTGAACTACTGCAGGATATGCCGTCATGTCAGTAGTTCAATTGAACATATAGTTCAAACGATCACATTCAAACGTAAGTATATTGCAAATGAGAATCCGCCAACTCGTCCCTCTAAGTTTATTTTAAACGTATCATAATCAAATTAAATGTATACACAAGTAATTCAAGATAAAAATATGAATAGATAGACATGGATAGATAAAGGGTTGGTCGATTGTGAAACCAAGTTTGTGGGCCTAGTGTTCTGTAACTAAATATTCTAAGAACTTCGCAAAAAAAACAAAAAAAAATTAAAATGGCGGGCTAAGAACCTTCATTAGGGAAATAATGGTAATTTCAGAAAAAAAAAAAATTTGTTTTAATCATCTTGTACCATGCACATCTAGGTCGCAAAAAAGCAGATAAATCAACAAACCCTAAACTGTTTATATATATATAAAAATATTATAAATGAATAAATATATATATAGTTGCGCGCCTGAATACCCTCCACCCCACCCCCCTTACCAAAATTCCCAGTTGCGTCTATTATCGGTAGATGGAGATAGATAAATAGATAGATAGATGGATAGATAAATAAAGTGCAAAAAAATAAATAAGTCCGTGAGTATTACATAAGGCGGGATATCAGCTGATCAGAGGTCATTGTGTCCTTGAAGAAAGTCAAGACAGGGATTACTTTTATAATATATTTTATAACTTTTTATACTTTCATTTAAGATTTTTTATTAGTTTTGTAAAATTTATTTTTTATTTTCAGATAATATTTTTGTGAATAATTTTTTGGAGGTTGCCCTGTACATTCGTGAAATCTTCCAAAACACAGTACACAACAGACCGTCTCAAATCTCAATTGCGGACTGATTTGCAGACTGACCCTAGAGACCCTACGCTTGCTAATTTCAAAATATATGCTGGTTAAAATAGTTAAAAACTTTTGTGTATTTGTGAAAATGACATTTTATGGGTTACGGATATTGCAAATTACAATAATTTTATTTTAAATTGTTCTTTACGCTTGTGAAATCATAAAGGGGAAAAACCATTATTTTTCGAATTAACTTCCTATAGCTAGTAAAAATTATATGAAATAATTGAACTTCAGCGCATATTTTAAGTATATTCTATTCTATTCTATTCATCCAACAGTAAAATCTTGTTAGATCAGGTTATTGACCTAGAATGCACATTAACCCCTTATTAGGTCTATATTACTAGGGGCCTAAGGCAAATCTCATTTTACCCCGCCCTTCACTTTGACACGACCTGTACCCCCTTTCATAGGGAAGATGGGGGGGGGGAGGGTAATAATACAATCGTTGAAAAGTGAGAACTTTCTTGCAGTGTGCACTATATAGTGAATACGTGATCAATAAGTTCTGAGCATTATCCGAATACGTGATCAATATTATTGATTTCGATTCTCTTCTCAGTAGAGTTCTGACTGTCGAACTAGAAACATCTACAGTGCTTTAGCGTCATCCATGTTTTATTATGAACAGTCTAAAATTCTGATCTATAAAACATTCTTTTTGAAATTAAAGTTCTATTATTTTGGTATAGATTGTACTGCTTTAGATATCTTTTATTCATTAAACATATTAAAATTTCATTGTAAAATTTATCTCACTAAATGTGACATTAACGTCATTTTGGGAAGTTAACCGACATGGATAGTATATATTTTACCCTGGAACAATAAACAAAACAAATTAGGGTTGTAAGACTTGAAATTTAGGCTTGAACTTGGCAAAAACAAGTGTTTTCTTAAATTGAAAAAGTTTGTTTTTAGGGGGTTTTAAGCCCCAAAAATATATTTTAACGCCCTGATAATTTTTTAACGCCATGGAAACCTGTACTTTTTTCTTTTCACTGACAGTGAATTTTTCCAGTGTTTCTCATAAACATACAGAAATATGATCCTTTAGTTAAAACAATAAAAAATATCATTTTTTTTATAAAAAGAGCAATTCAATAACATATTAGCAAAAGGACCCAGCGTTCCCCAGATTCACATAGTTACTCCGCCGTTTACCCGCACTTGGTCGATTTTACCGGGAAACTAAATGTTCATTTAAAAAGTCGACCCACTTAAATTAATCCTAATACCAAGCTAAAAAGATTCCCGTTTATCTCCTAAGTTCCTTAATAAAAATTTGTGGCAAATCGGTCAAATGGTTTCTGAGTTATGATCGGACAAACAAAGAGATACACAAAGATCAAACATTAAATGTATATTATAGATTATAAAAATCAACCTTAAAACAGAACTGAGTTTTTGCTACAAATTCCAATTTTTCTAATTCTGTACCTTTGCAACCAATCTAAGCCTAAGTTTGAAATATGAAATGTTTAAACCATCAAGTTGCAAAGATATAGGGATCTGACATTCTGGTGACAATTGCCCATAAAGTTTTATACTAGGAGAAGTTGTGGCATCACGAGATAATAATGATACATCCCAGAAATATGAAATATGCACAAACTATACAAAAAATTGCAGAAAAACTTATCGAGTTGGGCATTAAAGTTTAAAGAAGAGTCATGTTCTTTGATAAATGTTGTTTTCAGATTGTGAAAGTTTAAGATGGGGGATAAAGTTGCTGAACATGAACCCTCTCCCTCCCCTATGCCTATTATACCTCTACAGGTAATTATATAATTAATTAGTCAAGCAATTAATCAGTTTATTAATTGATAAATTGATTCTCTAAGTGAGTTATTGCAAACCTAATTACTTATCTAATGATTTGAGTAGTTATTTAGTTAATTAATTATTGATTAGATAACTGATTGATTAATTAATGTATACATTTGTTGTTTAATTAATTAAATAGCTGATAGATCAATCAATTAATCGGGTAATTAATTAATTAGGTGAATAATTATTAATTTTTATGAAAATTCATCAAAAAATACTTGTTTGTCTCTATAGTTTAAGAAACCCTTAATAAAGAGTGTTGTAAATAATTCTAGCAAGCGTTCCTTGGATTTCTACAGCAAAGACGACTATGAGACGACTACAAAGAAAATCAGCAAATTTAACAATTTTTCTAGAATTTAATATGTTTTGTTGTCATATTAATTATTTTCTTTTGTGACCTTTTATAAAGTGTTTTATAAATGATTCTGTCAAGCTCTTCTTGGATTTCTAAAAAATGTAGTAAAAACAATATTGACAGTTTCTCTAGAAAAGGTTTAAAAGTCACTTTTGTCAAGCTATAAAAGGGTTATTTCAATTAACATACGCAAATTTAAACATTTGCTAGAATCTGATAAAGGATTCATGTTTGCATTGTTATGTTAATTTTATCATAAAATAACCCTTTATAAAGAGTGTTACAAATGTTTCTTAGATTTTTACAGCAAATACGAATTAGAATGTAATAAAATAGGTATTTACAGTTGAACTTTTAAAAATGGTATTTTCAACCTGCAGGTGCAACGTAAGTTGGTGGAGAGAGGATCTCAAAAAGGAAAAGGGATAGCTGTCTTCACCAGCGGAGGCGATTCACAAGGGATGAATGCAGCTGTCAGAGCAGTTGTCAGGTAAACCAGCTGTCAGAGTTTTAACCAGCTGTCAAAGCTGTTTTAGGAAAACCTGTTGTCAGGTAAACCAGCTGTCAGAGCTGTTGTCAGGTAAACCCGCTGTCAGAGCTGTCGTCAGTTAAACCAGCTGTCGGAGCTGTAGTCAGGTAAACCAGCTATCAGAGTTGTTGTCAGTTAACCAGCTGTCAAAGCTGTTTTAGGCAAACCTGCAGTCAGGTAAACCAGCTGTCAGAGCTGTTGTCAGGTAAACCCACTGTCAGAGCTGTCGTCAGTTAAACCAGCTGTCAGAGCTGTTGTCAGTTTAACCAGCTTTTAGAGGTGTTGTCTAGTAAATCAGCTGTTAGAGCTGTTGTCAGGTAAACCAGCTGTCAGAGCTGTCGTCAGTTAAACCAGCTGTCGGAACTGTTGTCAGTTTAACCAGCTGTTAGAGGTGTTCTCAGGTAAATCAGCTGTCAGAGCTGTTGTCAGGTAAACCAGCTGTCAGGATTATCCTCAGATAAATTTCAAAAAAGAAAAAAATTACCAAAAAAATGTCCCAAGGCATTGTTATTGATCAATCTTTCTACCAGTGCTTAGGATCCATTTAATTTTGATGCGGATCCGGATCCGGATCCAGATCATTTCTGAATTTACTGAATTTACAAAAAATAATTTTCAAATTTTTTGTTTTATTTTTTTTTCGCTTATTTTTATCCTAAAACTTGATGAACCATTCAGAAATAAGTAAATTTTAAAATCTCTCTTTTTTCAAAAGTTCAGATTTGGGTTTTAGGAGTAAAAAAGTTTTTTTTGCAGTTTTTAGTTGATATTTTACCCCTTGGATCCGGATTAATATCTTTGAGCCAAAATCTTGCGGATCCAACGGATCCGGATCCGGATCCTAAGCACTGCTTTCTACATAAAGTTTGTTATATAAAGGTTAATTATAAAAACTTTGCTCTTGTGTATTATAACTAATTTTTTTTTACTTTTCAGGTTTGGAATCTATCTGGGTTGCAAAGTATTCTTTATAAAGGTAAATTTAATCAGGATTATTTCATGTTTTTTTTTGCGAAAAATGGAAAAACATTGTCAGAAAAAATTTGCTAATTTACCCAAGGTTATAATGCAAGGAAAGTTAATTGCAGTTTCAGTATACTCTGCGTACATATTGCAACCAGTTCTCTTGTAAACAAGAATAGATGCATCAGGGTTCGTTTAGTATCCGAAGAGCATAAAAGCACTTAATTTTGATAATTTTGATAATTCACATAATAGTTTCCTATGACCAGAATATTTCATTTATTTTTTATTTGAAAGATGGATCCCACGTCAGGCTGTGACATCCGTCTTGTGTTTCCATTACCGCCCAGAGACAGTACACTGCAGTACAAAAGATGCGTACACCGCTGAAATAACTTTCCTTGCATTATAACCTTGAATTTACCTAACTATATTGACGGTCAATTCTTATAATTGGATGATGATAAGCATATTATCATGAAAAAATATGATGAAATAAGCCGTTAAAAAAGTGTTTTAAAATACTCAAGTGGATTTATATAAACAAAGATTTAAGATGAGACATTTTTAGTCATCTGTCCCTTTAGAATTTTGGAGGGGAAGAAGGGTATTGTATACTGGAGGCAGTTTTATCTTTGACAAAATATCGGAGGCATTTTTGATTAAAAGTCCATTTAATGTTTAGGAGGGATACCAGGGTATGGTTGATGGAGGTGATAATATTGTGGAGGCTAACTGGAGATCTGTCTCAGGGATACAATTTACATTTTATTTTTTTCATCTACATATTGATTTCAATTTACCAATTGGTAGTTTACTTTCCAGTTTGATATTGTAAATGTGGTTCAACGAGAAAAGACTTTTTTTTTAACTCGTCGCTGCTGTTTTTTAATAGATTCTCTCTTAGAGATTTTTTATCACTAAACTGTAAAAACTCATAACTAAACTAGGATTTGTTCTAAACCTCCATTTTGATTTCCTAGACAACATCAATCAACTCCAAATTAAATCAGGATTTTTAAATTGCTCTACAATCTAGATCATTTTCATAAATAGATAAAGCATTTTATTATTTTTCAATAATTAATTTTTGATTTGTATCTAAATAGGCATCATCCACAAGGGAGGCACCATCATCGGCTCTGCAAGGTGTATGGTAAGGAAGAAGAAAAAAATTTAAAAAATTTCAGAAAAAAAGAATTCAGAAATTTTGAGAAATTTTTTTTTGTTCAGGAATTTAAAGAGAGGGCAGGAAGATTGAAAGCTGCCAAGAATCTGATAACAAAGTAATTATTAATTACTTAATTTATTAAATTATTTTGTACTATATCATTCATGCTTATTTCTTGGTAAATTTCATTATTGCTGTAAAGTAATCATCGTGCTATAATGTTAAATTAGAGGTTAGAATTTTCAAATTTTGATTTTCTCAAAGTAAATTTAGGACTAAATAACTATATATAAACATCAGAATGTTTCCTGCTGTAGAAATCCACAATTTTCCTATTTTGGTATTGACTCTCTGAAGCTCTTGACTTTAAGAGTTTTTGTTGTGGAAGAGTTTATGTCACTGTTAAAATATTCGTGTTTTATTTTGTTCGTTCATTGTTTGTGAACGACCCATTTCGCTCGTTTTTTAATTGTTAAAAAAATGATTTTGTTCTTAAAATTATCGTTCATTTTCCATCTTTTTCGTTCGTTTTCTCACGAAACGATCGATCAATAAAATCGTTCGTTCAGGAAAATCTTTGTAAATCGTTCGTTCAATAAAATCGATCTTCCAGTAAGAAAATGATCTTTTAAAAGTTTGTTCGAAAAAATTAGGTGGACAGTTTACTAAGGTTTGTGTTTTTATGATGAGTAGAATTAATTGACAATATTAATTATTTATTTATTTGATATTAGACATCTAGAGGCGAAAAACATACTAAAACGGTTTTTAGGGGAATCTCTAATCTGGTTGTGATTGGTGGAGATGGTTCGTTGACTGGAGCCAATAGGTTTAAACAGGAGTGGAGCAGTCTTCTTCAGGTTTAATAATTCGTTTATTCATACATTTTTTCAATTATACATTTTTTCATTTATTCAATTTTTAATTTTTAACTTTTTATTCATTGTTTCATTGTATGTTTAGGAATTGGTTGAAACTAACCAATTATCCACTGAATTGGCGACAACTTTCTCCCATTTGAATATAGTTGGTATGGTCGGATCAATCGACAATGATTTCTGTGGAACAGATATGACCATTGTAAGTATGGTTTAAACAGCATATAAAACATCTGAATCCCAAATATCAATATAAAACGCATGGCGTAAAAGTAATTACATTAACATCACAAAATGGGACCTGTTACAGCTAGAATGCCATAATTTCTAACCTCAGCAATTTTTGTTTGCTCCTTTTCTCCTTAGCTATGTACATTACAGTATGTACAATGTACTGTAAGCATGCTGTACAGAATGTACATCAACAATTTTATATTGTAGGGAACTGACTCTGCTCTGCATCGTATTATAGAGGCTGTAGATGCCATCATACCAACAGCCTCCAGCCATCAGAGGACATTCATTATGGAGGTCAAGTATTATAAATTCATTATGGAGGTCAAGTATTATAAATTCATTATGGAGGTCAAGTATTATAAATTCATTATGGAGGTCAAGAATTATGAATTCATTATGGAGGTCAAGAATTTTTTATGGTGGTTAAATATCATAAATTCATTACGGAGGTCAAGTATTAAGAATTCTTTATGAAGGTCAAGTATTCATTATGGAGGTCAAGTATTAAAAACTCCTAATGGAGGTCATCTACTAAACTTTCATGATGAAGGTCAAATATTCTTTAAGGAGGTCAATTAATAGTTATTGAGGTTAAATATTCTTTCTAATGGTCGAGTTTATATTATGGAGGTCAAGTATTCATTTTCGAGGCTAAGTATTTATTGCGGAGGTCAAGTTATAATTTTGGAGGGCAAGTGTTATTTTTGAGGGTCAAGTATTCTTTATGGAGTTCAAGTATTCTTTTCGGAGGTCAATTATTCTTAATGGAGGTCAAGTATTTATTATATAGGTCAAGTATTCATTATGGAGGTCAAGTATTCATTATAGAGGTCAAGTATTATATATTCATCTTGGTTTCGGTAGAGAAATTTAAAATGTAAAATCTACATGAATGAACTTTGCTAATTTTTATTGATTATTTCAAGTTTTTCTGAATAAATTCCTAGATATATGCACATTGCACATGTTTGTAAATTTAATGCAATATGTGTTTATCGTTCCATGAATATTGCGTTTGGTAATTTTTTGCATAATAGCATACAAAATATGTGTGTAAGAAAAGTAACAGAAAATAGCGAAAATTATTCACATATTTTCTGGATTGTGGGGTTGGGCTGGAAGTTATAATGATTAAAAAAAGAAAATTATAATTATATTTAGGATAATAACGATGATCAAAGTGATTATAATGATGATTAAAATGATAATAAGGATGATTAAAGTTATTTTAATGATGATTAAGATGATAATAATGATGATTAAGATGATAATAAGGATGATTTCATAATAATGGTAATAATGATAATAATGATTATAATGATAATAATGATAATGATAATAAGGATGATTAAAGTTATTTTAATGATGATTAAGATGATAATAATGATGATTAAGATGATAATAAGGATGATTTCATAATAATGGTAATAATGATAATAATGATTATAATGATTATAATGATTATAATGATTATAATGATTATAATGATAATAATGATAATAATGATAATGATAATAATGATAATAATGATGATTACAATGATAATAATGATGATTACAATGATAATAATGATAATAATGATGATAATGATGATAATGATGATAATGATGATAATGATGATAATGATGATAATGAAGATAATGATGATAATGATGATAATGATGATAATGATGATAATGATGATAATGATGATAATGATGATAATGCTTATGAAAATTAAGAAGATTATGATAATAATGATAATAATGCTTATGAAAATGATGATAATGATGATAATGATGATAATGATGATAATGATGATAATGATGATAATGATGATAATGATGATAATGATGATAATGATGATAATGATGATAATGATGATAATGCTTATGAAAATTAAGAAGATTATGATAATAATGATAATAATGCTTATGAAAATTAAGAAGATTATGATAATGATAAAGGTGATTAAGATTATTACAATGATAATGATGATAATGATGATAATGATAATAATGATAATAATGATAATAATGATAATAATGATAATAATGATAATAAATAATGCTTGTGAAAATTATGATGATTATGATAATAATATTGGTAATAATGATAAAGGTGTAAAGATTATTACAATGATAATAATAACAGGTAATGGGACGACACTGTGGGTATCTTGCTCTAGTAGCTGGGGTTGTGAGTGAAGCAGATTTCGTCTTTATCCCTGAATGGCCGGCAGAAAAGAACTGGCCGGAGAAACTCTGTAAGAAACTGGAGATTGAAAGAAAATGCGGGCATAGGTAATCCTGGACAAACCTACCCAATATTTGTCATTACTTTTCATTGATGGTGAAACTAAATGGCACTTAAAGATCAAAAATTTCAAATCTATCTAACACCAGTTCTTAAGTTTTCATTGCACAATTTTAAGAAAAAGTTTAAAACATAGTATAAAAAACAGTTCTTATCACTAAAGCAAACAATTTTTGAAATTTCGAGAAAAGAACAAATAGACGGTATTTAGTGGTTTGAAACTTATATTTTGATACCTGTGTCAACATGTTATGAATCAGTCGTCTGCTGATTCATAAATATGGTCTATGATGAAGTGTTAAACCTGAGTTCAATCTAAAGAATTAAAACCCAACTTATATGTTGATACCCGTGTCAACATGTTATAGCAAAGTGGAAAAACTGACCGAGAGGTTTAAAAATTCCTTAATAACTCGAATGAGTTCAAATTATTTTAATAATGTTGCTTATAATTTGATACTGTATATATTTTTCTGGTGCAAAAAGGATTTGACATTTCACATTATTTTTATATTAATGGTAAGGATTAGAATTGATATATTTTAAGGTTGAATATTATCATTGTGGCTGAGGGGGCAATTGATATGGACGGAAATGCAATTACATGTGAGGATATTAAGAAGGTATTGTTTAATATAAAAGTTTAAAGCCTTAGTTTTGTGCACTGTGCAGTAGTTATATTAGTGCCTGATACTATTTGGATAGTCAATAAAGTATTTCAAGAAGTATAAGCTTTCGCTTTATTTTCAAGGAATGTTGGGTTTAAAATTGTATTTGATGGATTTTTATGATTGAAATTGGAGGATTTCTGGATTTGATTAAAATAAGACTGAACATTGAAAATAAGATCAATCAAGGTCGGTTTAATTTTGATAGGGCCTAATTTTGTAAGTCAAGACTAAGGGCTGGAAGCTGTCAGATAAGTGACAGAACTCGCCATCAGCTGATTCATAAGTAGGGTCTAAGAAGAAGTGTTAAACCTGAGTTTAATCTAAGGAATTAAAACCCAAGTCTAAGCTTTTAAATCGCCAGCTCAAAGGAAAAACATTTCATACGATAGTTTTTATTTAGGTGGTTGTGGATAACCTGCATCAGGATACAAGGATCACTGTTTTGGGCCATGTTCAGCGGGGCGGAGCTCCCTCCGCCTTTGATAGAATTCTCGGCTGCAGGTTAAATATTTCCATGTTTCACAAGATAAAAAGGAATTGTTTGGTATGATTGCCTGAAATGATTCAAAATGAGATCTCAAGGAAGCCAATGACATTCTTAATGCCATAGCTTTTACCAGAAAGTTACTTTTTAAAGGATCTCTTGGGCATTGACCTAGGAATGCCATACTCTTAAAATTTTGTCCCAAACTGTATCAGTCCAGGTAAAACTTGTCCACTATCAAAGTCAACCAGGACAAAATCCACACAGCTACAATCCCGTTAACTATCAACACTACTACCACCGGGCACGTTCTCGGTGTCAATCGGACACTAGCTATTAATTGAGCTCTAACTCCCACACAGGGACCTAAGCGTAGCAATCAAACAAGCTATTAATCAAGCACTAAATGCCATATAGGGACACAAGCGTAGCAATCAAACACGCTATTAATCAAGCACTAAATGCCATATAGGGACACAAGCGTAGCAATCAAACACGCTATTAATCAAGCACTAAATGCCATATAGGGACACACGCATAGCAATCAAACAAGCTATTAATCAAGCACTAAATGCCATATAGGGACACACGCGTAGCAATAAAACACGCTATTAATCAAGCACTAAATGCCATATAGGGACACACGCGTAGCAATCAAACAAGCTATTAATCAAGCTCTAAATTTCACACAGGGATACAAGCATGTCTATTAAACAAGCTCTTAATCGATCTATACCAAATACCTAGGTATGATCTCAGCCCATATGTTTCCACGAGGACACAGTTTAGCTATCAAACAAGTTTTTAATTGATCTATACCAAATTCCCAGGTACAATCTCAGCCTGTATGTTTCAACGAGGACGCAATTACTCTACACTGTAATCAAAGCAGAGTTTCTATATTAACTGATGTATTTTAGGTTTATATGTTACAAGTTAAAGTTAATAGACATGATTAAAATTCCTACGTCGTTATCTATATCACATGATTAAGACAATCATGTTACGTATTTACGAATATAAGGTAGTTAAACTTTCTCAACACATGTTTACAGCGTAGTTTAAATTGAATGTACATATTTAAAGGATTAACATGGATAGATATAATCGTAGTTAATCTAATCACAATGCATGTTTTAATCATGTTACGTAGCTAATGATAATATATCTAGGTATGTTCAGGTTAACAAATATGGGGATTGCTGTATTTGTTACAGAATAGATAGTTAATAATGTACTGCAGGTTTACAGAGTATCATGTGACCCAATATTTATTACAGAACAGACATAATGTATTTTCTTAAAAATGGTCGCAAATGTAAAAATTTATTCTCTTAAAAACGTTGGAACTTTATCCAGGATGGGTGCAGAGGCTGTCCTTGCTTTGATGGATGCTACCCCAGAGACAGAAGCATGTGTTGTGTCTCTGGACGGAAATGCCGCGGTCCGTGTTCCACTCATGGCCTGCGTTGAGAAAACACAAGCTGTGACGAAGGTATGGTCAAGTGATATGGAATCAATCAGGGATTTAAGTGATGTTTATCAAGAAGCATCGCTAGTTAGATGACTGAACGAAAGTTGTAAGCTTTTTTGCTTCCATTCGTATTAATCTACAGTTGTTGACTGAGATCATAGCGATGAGTGACAAAAGATTCAAACCTGCCAATTTACTCAATAGCCAGGGGGTGTTGGACAGCTATTAAAGGGAGTGTTCGCGAAAAATTAAAGGGGGTATAGGCTTACGGCGAAAAATAATCGCTTTTGATTGCTACTAATCTTACTTCTATCTGTTGCCTCCTTAAGGAGAAAATTGTTAAAAAAGAATTTTATCGAAGAACGTAGCGTCCATACAAATTCAGAAAATTGCAATATACGACTCGTATCGTAAAATAATCAATTTAATTTCAAACAAATCATTCTGATATTATAACTATGATAACTATGATAATTATGACTCTAGTCATCGATTATTTTTCGACGCATTTGTATAAAGTTAATATTTCATAATATTTGTTATTTGTTTTATATACATACAATTCACTTAAAACGACTTTTTTCCGCTAGGTGTCTCTACCACGTGTAATCATTCAAAGCATTGATAGCAGAGACATGGCGGCCAACTATTTTGGCGTTTTAAGTCCATTGTATACAAAACGAATAAAAAATATTATGAAACATTAACTATATACGAATGCGTTGAAAAATAATCGATGACTATAGGTTGTAATATCTGGATGATTTGTAAGTAAGATAAAAGTAAGATTAGAAGCGATCAACAGCGATTATTTTTCGCCGTAAGCCTATACCCCCATTCATATTTCACGAACACTCCCTTTAAGGTTCCTTGACGTTCACCACTTTAAAAATGTTATAACAAAGTTTCATGTTTCAAGCTTCAAGCAGTAAAGTAAGCACAGTTCGGAAAAATGTTACCCTCAATAGTCATTACAAATGGGAAATGCTTCTTTTAAAGAATTTTATTCCTATACAACCTGTAAATAATATTTATTGCGTGAAGGCTATGGCTGACAAGAACTGGGAGCTAGCTGTAAAGCTGAGAGGGTCATCTTTCCAGAGGAACCTGGACACCTACAGAATGCTCACCAAGTAAATATGAATTTTTCATTAAACAATGGAAGTTTTTGCGCAAAATTAATTTCAACTACGCACAATCATTATTAAAAAACAATGTCAACTTGTCGGCGTGTGCAAATCCCTCAATGCATTGCTATTCAAAGTTTAGCTTTATTTTGAGAGAAATGTGCACCTGTTGAAAATTGCAATTGCTCATAAAATGTTTTTGATTTTTTTTAGCAGGAGCCTTTACTCATTAGTTGGTTAGTTCATGGATTATTTATGTTCTTAAATTGCTTGTTACAATGATAAAACGAGTGCCAATCATCAGCATTCAGTTACTTAATCATGATGATATTTACCAGAAATTACAAAGCATCAATTAAAAAAATATTGTTCTTCAACAACATCCTTTAGATACAAAGATGTCGCTAGATCTCTCTATTTTATACATTTTTAAATAATCAAGGATTGATTGTAATTCAGATTGAATCCGGAAATTACTGGGAAAGGGTGAGTTTGCTTGCAACCCCAGTAAATTATCCCTTTCTTTTCCCTCTCTTCCTTGTAGCTTTTATTTTTTTTCTTCTCAGATTTACATTTTTTAAGATTGAATCCTGGTGTTTCAGTGAACGGGTAAGTAGGCTTGCAAAGCTCTGAATCTATTTTTTTAAAAACCTTTTAGAAGAGGAACTTGTTTCATTTCCAGGTTTTCAGGTTTTTCAGGTTCTTTGTGATTTTTTATTCTTTCCCCCTCTTTAATGTAACGATGTTTGTTTAAATGTATAAATGTTTTAAAAGAATTTGAATTGGCATGTAAAACATAAATTTTTTTACTTATCAATCAGATTTTATTTTGACAGACATGTTTTTTTTATTGTTTTATCACCAAAAATTCGAATGGAAGGGGAAATTCTTGGACAAGGATTTTGTAAAACGTATTTTGAAATAGTTCTAGTGATTATATTTTGATTAATACTAGATACAGATAGGTTAGGGAACAGAACTTGAACTAAAAACCCAAACAATTTTAACCCATTAAAGAACAAAGGTTATAAATTGTTTTAAGTAGCATCAGAATATTTTTAAGAACAGTTGAAAGGAGTAGATGTTTTTATTTAGCAGTTAAAAACTTTAACTAGGGTTTCCTGAGGAAACATTGTCTTGTTCTTACGCTCAAGGGAATAAATCGAAAGGGGTAATTACCAGACAAGGACCAATTAAAATTCAACAAACTTTCATGATAATCTCTTTAGACATGAAAAGATTTTTAATTTTTTTATTCAAATCTTGAACTGAAACAATATGAAGGCCTTTAACATATTTTGCCTTATACTTCTGTTTTGCTTAAATGGTTTTTGACTTCATTATCCTTCTTTCTTCACCATAAATTATGGCACCTTATCTTTAAGTTCCAATTGTTATAGTTATTTAGATATTTTCTAAATCAGGGTAGATATTACTTAAAAGCATTGAGTACTTTTTCAAGTGGTTTTGTAGTAGCTAGCTAGGTAAGGAGTGTTTCTTCCAACTTTTTGTAGCAAGCTTCTAAGAAAGAATCTTTGGCTTGGGACTAAGTAGGATTGCGGAATTTGAATTCCATTAGATGTCTATTATTGATAAAGTCAATGAAGACAAAATGTAAATGGCTGAGTTTCCAAGAACTTCTTTTTTAATCCTGATACTGTGCGCTAAAAAGTCTAAATCTGGATGACGAGCACAGCTTTTTTTTACTATTTTTTTTCTTCATCCATTTCACGAACCTTCCGTCTTTTGTCAGGGATAATTATTTGAATATTTATGTCCAGAGTGAAGCCTCCAAGTGGTTTAACTGACTGCCCTGGATGGAACCTGGCTGTTATGCACTGCGGAGCGCCATGCTGCGGAATGAATGCCGCGGTTCGAAGCTTCACAAGGCAAGTCGTCTTTGTTATTACGATAATGAATTTAAGAATCAATTAATTGATTTTCCATTTTAGAAACTGCATATTCTCTGGAAATAACCCCCTTGGTATCCACAACGGTATTGATGGTTTGATTAAAGGAGAAATTAAACCTATTGGATGGTCTGATGTCACTGGTTGGATCGCAGAGGTTGGTTTTCACAGATTTAAATATTTTCACTTAATATATTCAAACATTTGCATGTTGTTTCAGTTTTGGATATTTAGACAAGAAAAAGACCCAATTAATAAATATGAATACTGAATGAAGCCCTATTTCCGGATATTAATGCTGTTCTGCTTTGAATGATTTATTTTAATTTATTTTTTGTTTATGGAGCTCTGATAACAAACTATAAAATTTTACCTAGCTTTACTTTGAGATTTGGGGAAGGGTTAACTCTTTTAATTTGGTATTAATGTCCTTTTAAGGTGGTATGTTATCCCCACAATTTAGATCTTCCAAGATCCATTTTGGAAATAAAATACATAGATTAGAGTGTTAACATGATGGCCAGAATAAACCTCTTGCAAGGAAATATTTTTTTTACCTGTAACATATTGCTTCCATAAGACTTGACTTTGAATATGGTTTCGGCTTCTTTATCGCTGGGTTCTTCCCGAAACACAGGATTTGGTAGAAACTTCATCTGACCACTTACACTTCCTTAAGAAATGAATTAGCCTGGTTGTTAGAGAAATATTGGGGAAATATAGAAAAAATGAACTTTTTTAATTGATTATAATCAAATTTCTATTTATTTTGTTCAAGAAAAGGATATAAACTACCACAAAATTAGCAAATAAATATGGAAGGTCGGCACTCACTGGTCTGGATTTCGCAGATTTTTCTAAAAGAATTGAGGGGTTGGTGATCTGACTAAACAAACAGAAAAGGATGAAAAACTTCAGGTTAAAGAGGTTTAACATTTTAGGGTGGAGCCCTGCTGGGAACCAAGAGAACCCTACCAGAGAAGGATTTCGCTAAATGTGCAGAAAATCTGGAGAAACACAAGATTCAAGGACTAGTCGTCATTGGAGGTTAGTTGTAGGTTAATTTGTTATTGAAGGCTAGACGTACAATAAGTAGTCATTGGAGGTCAGTTGTAGGATTAGAATCATTGGAGGCTAATGAACGGTTTATAAGTCATTGGAGGTCAGTTATAGGTTAAACTTTCATTTGAGGTCAGTTGAAGGATTAGAATCATTGGAGGCTAATGAACGGTTTATAAGTCATTGGAGGTCAGTTATAGGTTAAACTTTCATTTGAGGTCAGTTATAGGATTAGAATCATTGAAGGCTAATGAAAGGTTTTTATCAGTCAGTTGAGGTCAGCTGTAGGATTAGTAGTTATTGAAGGTCAGTTGGAAGTTTAGAATCATTGGAGGTCAGTTAAAGGGTTAGTAGTCATTGGATGTTAGCTGTTACTTAAAAAGTCATTGGAGGTCAGTTGTAGCTTACCCAATGTGAAATTCAAACATATTCAGCTCATCAATGGTAAAAATATTATGTTTAGGGTTTGAAGCATTCAGTGCAGTTCTTCAGTTTTCACAGCAAAGAGATAAATATAAACAATTCAGGATTCCAATGGTAACTTTTTTGTTTGTTTAATTTTAGTTTAAGATATTTGTTAAAACTGGAATTATAACATAAAAAGCTCGAAGCATGGGTGGATTCGTAATCTTCAATGTATTCCCCCCTCCCTTGCTCTGAAAAGGAAGAAAAATCTTATGTAATAATTTAATGAATAAAACTGTTAATCTTATGTTAAAATTTTGTTTTACTAATTTCCACCTGCTGTTTCCTATGTCCTTCTCTGCAGCTCAGAGTTAAGTGACCCTTCATTTAAAAGGTAGCATGTACGATTCTCAGTAGCACCCTTTAAACATTTCTCTGATCAATAATGAAATTAATTATTTTCAATTCTCTTAGAAAATGACTTGCACATTTATGATTTAGAGAAATTAAAAACGTGTTGATTGAATAACACCGAAATCTTTCTCTTTGATATTTTGATAGAGGTTTAAAGGGTGTCGGTGTGAGATAGACATCCACCTTTTAAATGGAGGGTCATTTGAATCTACCCCTACAATCCCTTGAAGGGACTGAAGGGGTAGTTGTGTGACGTTTGAAGATTTAAGTGATCTAGGATGTGGGACATAGTCCTAATCACTGAACACTTTGCTTTTAAGCTGTTTTATATTTAAGAAATAGCAAGAGCTACTTTCTAGAAGTGACAGAAAATAAAAATTTACTGACGAGTTTTTGAAAACCGCTTTTAGCGTAAAATATTCAATTTTTTCGAGGGACGCAAGTAACGGATCAGCTGGGTTCACATAGTACGCAGCGTACACCAAGTTTAACAGCAATTAAACCTTATTCTAGAGATGTACGGAGCTCTCTCTACTCGATAAACAGTAAAATGTTTAAAGGGTACCATTGTAAATCGGACATTACCCTCTTTGCATGGAGGGTTATTTAAAATATCGCTTACAGTCCCTTTAAAGGTTGTTTTGCCCGCCACAATCTCCAACAACGTTCCTGGGACAGATTTCTCTATTGGTGCAGATACAGCCCTTAATGAGATCACAGAGATCTGTGACAGGTATATTGAGAAGGGGACGGGAGAGGGGGGGGGGGGGGGGGGAAATGGACAAGCACATAAACTTCTTTTGATATTCATTCTACTGAGTTATAATCTCAATATTAAGAAAATTACACCAGTTTTTATAAACTCTGAAATTAAGTGTATTTACAGGTCTAAAATCAAACGTATAGAATTTAGTTTCAAGGCTTTAGTCTGCTTTTTCTGGTTTTATCACAATATTGTTTCAACCATAAAATGGAAAGGTCCCCAAATTTTGTAACTTTTTATGTAAGAACTCAAAGCCCTAACCGTCTGACTGTCTAGATACGACCTGAAAAAGTCTTGTTTTATTTGATTTTCACTAATTTAAAACAACTTTTTTAGCAATCTAGTTTGCTTAGAGAACATTGATTTTTTTTTGCCGAAACCATGTCTTAATAATATAAATTTACAAAACTTGACCCCATGCCATTTAAACCATTTTTGAGCTTTCTAACTTCATTGTCAGATAAATAAGCTTAGATATTATTTAATTTTTTTAAATGTCAATTTGTAAAGTTAATATTTTTTACTTTTTCCTCCCTTACCCATTTAAATTCAGATTTATCTAGAAATTTAAATATTGTTTTTAAGAATTCGGCAAAGCGCCCAGGGCACCAAGCGTCGAGTCTTTATCGTTGAAACTATGGGTGGATACTGTGGATATCTGGCTACTATGGCAGGTTAGGATATTATTTTATTACAACTTTCGGAAATATCCTACAACAGATTATTATTATTATTATTATTATTATTATTATTATTATTATTATTATTATTATTATTATTATTATTATTATTATTATTATTATTATTATTATTTTATAAGAGTAAACCAGGAACTGTATGTATGTTGGAACTGTATGAGGTTGCCCAAATCTATAATTCCCGAACTTAATCAGGAACATTTAATTTTAAAGCGAAAAAGGACTTAATCAATGAAAAATGTCCGACTCTACTGCGATGTCTGCAATTGGTTTGGTCGTTGTTTTAGCATATAAAGGTGTTATCAGAGATGTCCGAAAGGATTTTTATTAATCCCTCTAATACTGATTTTGAAATGGATTAACAACAAATTTAACAATTAACTTTTTTTATCAATCAACAATTTTTATAATATGAATATTTGTTTCCAGGTTTAGCCGGTGGGGCTGATGCTGCATACATATTTGAGGAGAAGTTTGGTATCAAGGATTTAATGAGGGTAATATATCTTAGTTCTGTATCTTGGATTTAATGAGGGTAATATATCTTAGTTCTGTATTTAGGATTTAATGAGGGTAATATATCTTAGTCCTCATTGTATAAAAAACTATTTTTTTAAATTCCATTAATTAGTATTCTCTATTAAGGATATGGATATCATGGCGTATAAGATGGACGAAGGGAACATCTACCGTGGTCTCATCCTTAGGCAGAGTTCAATTGATTAATCAATCAATCAATCAATCAAACAAACAACAAACAAAAAACAATCAAACAATCAATCAATAAATTCTTTAAACAATTTATCAATCATTCAATCAAATTATCAAATAAAAATACCAACAAATTTCTTCCACAAAATCTGATTTTTTATGCCTATATCTTTAAAATCCGATGTCGCAGACATATCATATTTCAAATTAAGAATTCCAATAGGTCAAATTTTAAAAGTTTTAAAAAGAATTATCTATTTAAATCAATAGGTTAGTTATGCTGTAATTTGTTACCTAATGTTTCTGTTTGGTGAACTAGAAATGATACTGATCAATTTCCAATTTATGGTTTTAAGGGAATCATCAATGTACTGTACTGTACAGCACTGCACTGCACTGCACTGCACTACACTGTATTGTACTGTACTGTACTGTACTGTACTGTACTGTACTGTTGAATTGAACACTGTCTGGAACAGGAATGAGATGGCCAGTGAGAACTACAGCACCGACTTCTTCTACAGGTAAAAGGTCTCCCAACAAGATGAGACTTGTAAGGGGACCGTAAGTGTAAATTCAATTGACTCTCCATGCAAAGATGTCAATGTCCGATTAACAACGGTACCCTTGAAAGCTTTGTATGATCAAGTATGAATTAGACATAATGTTTTGTTCCATTAAAATGTTTATTTGCATTTGTGGTTTCTCTGCGAAAGTGATTTGTGCATTTCTTGTTTAAAGAAGCAATGGAGAAACTCATGGAAATAAACACTCGAGTCAGAAAAACGAAGATATCTTCCAAGTTTTTATCAGATTAAGGTTTCAAGGGTACCGTTGTAAATCGGGCACTGCTTTCTTTGAATGGAGGGTCAATTGAAATTACGCTTACAGACCTTTAATGAGCACCTTGAACTCCTTAAATCTAAGGATTCTAGAATGAATTTTGTTCAATTACTGGGATATAGCCTTTAAATGAAATGCTATTGCTAAGTAAAAAAGAAAGCGATAAGGTACAGGAAACCAAAATGTAAAAATATCTTTTTAAATTCTTACTCTTTATGGTTAACCCTGCAGTAATAATAATAGTAATAAACGATCGACCATCATCCCAACACCACACATTAATGGGATTTAAGTGACCCTCCATGCAAATATTACATTGCCCGATTCAAAACGATATCCTTGTTACCTTAATCCGATCAAAAATGTGGAAGATTCCTGGCTACGTAATTTTAAAAACAGTTTAAAGAAACAAAAACATTGATGTCTAATTCATACTTCAGAAAAAGCTTTCAAGGATACCGTTGTAAACTGGTCATTCCCATCTTTGCATGGAGGGTTGCTTGAAATTACACTTACAGTATTTATGCTAAATAAAAAATTTTATTTCAAAGATTTTTCTGTTTTTATTTGACTGGGGTTATGTGAGGTCCCACAAAAAATATATTCCTGGTGTTTGGACACGTATTGGATCCAAAACAACATAGAAATCCAAGTATTATAATCAATATAATATATTCTTATATAACATATTATGTACATTACAGGCTGTATTCCGAGGAGGGTAAAAACAAGTTTACAGTTCGTCAAAATATTCTTGGACATATGCAGCAGGGGGGCTGGCCTTCGCCCTTCGACAGGTAATAGGAGTAAGATAGGTACTTGGGGTAGGAAAGGTACTTGGAGTAGGATAGGTACTTGATGTAGGATAGGTACTTGGAGTAGGATAGGTACTTGTAGTAGGATAGGTACTTGGCGTGAGTAGGAACGGTACTTGGAGTAGGATAGGTAATTGGAGTAGGATAGGTACGTGGAGTAGGATAGGTAATTGGAGTAGGATAGGTACTCGGAGTAGGATAGGTACTTGGAGTAGGATAGGTATTTGGATTAGGGTAGGTATAACTTGGAGCAGGATAGGTACTTGAAGTAAGATAGGTACTTGGAGTAGGATATGTACTTGGAGTAGGATAGGTACTTGGAGTAGGATAGGTACTTGAACTAGGATAGGTACTTGAAGTAGGATAGGTACTTGGAGTAGTATAGGTATTTGAAGTAGGATAGGTATTTGAAGTAGGATAGGAACTTGGAGTATGATAGGTACTTGAAGTAGGATATGTACTTGAAGTAGGATAGGTACTTGAAGTAGGATAGGTACTTGGAGTAGGATAGGTACTTAGAGTAGGATAGGTACTTGAGGAGGATAGATACTTAGAATAGGATAGGTATTTGAAGTAGAAAAGGTACTTGAAGTAGGTCTGGTAGGATGGGTATTTAAACAATATTTATTTTATTTTAAATGTTGTAAATTCTATTTAAGGGATGTCCTATTTCCATACTACAGAGTCAGACTCAAAATGACTTTACTAAATCAAATCTCAAACTTATTTATCTAGTTTTTAACTTAACCAGTCAGAGTAGAAATGTAGTATGGGTGAACAAAGGCAAAGTTAAACAAGATAAATATCTCTTATTTTTTGGATTCTCTTAAAGGGACTGTATGTATACGTAAGTCTAAGTAAGTATCTATTTAACGATGGCATGCCCAATTCACAACGGTTTCTCTAAAAGTGAATAGTACTGACAGTTTCTTTAATTGTTTCTGCAGCATAAATTTGCGAGTCACTTAAACAGAAACCACAATTGAAAATAATAAATTTTCAGATACGAAATTTATATTTTTTACGACCCCCCCCCCCTCCCCGAGCAGGGCAAAAATATGAGCTTTTATTGGGTTTGGGGGAAAAAATGAAGGAAAAAGGTGGAAGGGGAAAGAGGAAAGGGAAAAAGGGAAGGGGAAAGAGGAAAGAGAAAAAGGGGAGGAAAAAATGGGAAGAGGGAAGGGGAAAAAATGGAAATAAGCAGAATCAGAAATGCTTGAATAAAAACTCAGGGGGGACCTTGAAGTTAACCTTTTAAGGGCACCAAAACTCTCCATTATGCTACTAAAATCCAATTTTCTTTGCAGCAAACTTCAAGTTTGCATGGGATTCAGAAACCTGTAAAATATACCTGTTTTTAAGTTCTGGATTTGGGGGAAAATGATGATTCTGAAAGGGGTGGGGGGGGGGAAATTATTAAATTGTACTGAAATTAGCTGTCCTATTCATTCTTGATCAGATGAACCTTTAAAAGGAACTGTTGTGAATGAGAAATGCAACTCTTTTAAGATTGGAGATTCATTTGAAATTACGTCTATAGTCCCATTAAAAATTAGATGTGAAAGGATCCCAAACTATAATTTTAAGGAACGTGGCTACAAAGATGGCAGCCAAGACAGTAAACTGGTTAATTGAACAGCTGACTCATGTGGCCGCAAGAGATGGTAAGTCTAGTGTGCTTAGGATCCACTTCATTTTGATCCGGATCCGCTCTGAAAAAAAGTGGATCCGGATCCAGGAAATGAACACAAATTTCTTCGAGATTGATCAAGTTGATTATGTGCTTTTGGATCCGCATTTTCTTGCAGATCCTAATCCTAAGAACTCTCTATAGGTTATCATTCACATAAAGAATCTTTTTTCTTTAAAAATCATCAATATTTTTCAATTTTTGTAGAGGTTTTTTAAATTGCTAAATTTTAGCTTTTCGAGAAAAATTAGTTGTATGCAGTGGGACTCACAGCGGAAAAAAAGCGACTGTTCGACTCAAGTTATAATTTAAAAAGTCCATTGAATATGAAACATAGCAATTGTTCAGTTTACACGAACCAATTTCACTTGATAAGTGGATTTTCCATTTACTGGGAAAACTAATTTCATTTTAAGAAAATAAATTTCTTTTTCACAGTTTTATGATTCCCAATGTACATTGTACAAAAATCTCATTAAATTTTGTTAACTCGTTTTTAATTATTCTTCCCTTGGAGGATTTTAAGTCCAATGATCAACATTCTATGATATTTTTTTTTAATTTTGTCAAATTTTCAGTTCTCACATTATTTTGGCAATTTTAGTCAACTTAATTTTATTCTCTTCCTCTTTTTGATTTGAATTAATTGATCTTTATTTTTTGTTTAAACTAATAATGGTTATAAACATTTTTTGCTGCTTTTTTAGTAACAGGTAGAAGAAAGCTCTCCAAACTTTTTAAAAAATCAATTTAGGGGAAATAAGCTGATATAAAAAATTCAGGGGTGTATATATTCTTAAAAAATAATCTCCTCCTTTCCCCGGAAATTTGGTATCTTCAAAAAGGTTGAATAAAATTGTCTTCTGATTACCATTTTTTAATTTTTAATTTTTCATCCCTGTACAAATCTTGAGATAGTCCTTTTAAAAAAATAAAATCTCAGATGGTTCAGGAACCGTTCATGCTGATGATCCTTCCACTGCTACTCTGCTCGGCATGCGCACCAGATCATACAGGTACAAGTAACTTACAAATTACAAGTGAAATTTTTTCTTAATATTTTAATTTGTAATTTGTAATTACTATTGAGGCTAATTCCCCTACAGTGCATAACTGTTGGGTGGTTCTAAATTCTTAAATTTAACCATTACAATATTACACTTGAACTAGTAGTTGAACCTTTATAATGAACCTCCGTGGGAAACTATTAGTTTATAACTTTGCAAAATAAATATATTATTAAAAATATAAAAAATATTTTTATTGGGGACAAAATACAAAGTTAGGTTAAATAAATTGAGTCCTTGCCACAAACTCTTATTTTCTACTCTAGTCCCTATATCTTTGCAGCCCAATGTTGTAGATTTTAGATATTTGCAACTAGTAAGGAACCGTTAATGCTGTTAAATTTTCTGACTAGTTGAAGTTTCTTGCGACACTGCATTCTTTATATTTGACGATACCAATGTTAGCTGGAACCAAGTAGCTGAACCTTAGAAATTAAACCTTGATTTAATAGTTTTTATCTTTACAACTGTTCTCACTGAATCAGAATAACATGTTTTTAGTTCTGTTTTAATTTCAATGCGTTAGATTTTAATTGACGTTGTTTAATTACAAAAAAATATCACAAAAAATTTAAAAAAATTCTTTTAAAGTTTTCGAAACTACTTCAAATAATTTGGCACTTTGTCTTGAATACTCGCCACATAGATTTTTAGGTTAAGAATGAAAAAAATTATATTTTTTGGTACAGAAAATTTGGTTTAATAAATTATTTTTGTCTCTAGGTTCCAGCCTGTTGAAGATGTTGCCAAAGAAACTGACTTTACATACAGGTTAGTTTTCTATAAACATGTTTTTTAATATTTAATTATGCAATAATTTAATATTAAAAGACACACAATCCTAATAAATATTCTGCAGATTTATTCCAAGCTTTTTATCATTTTATTAATTTTTTTTATGCAAACAATGTTTTCATAAAATAGGAATTTGGTTTTCATTTGAGGCATAATTTTCGCTGGAGTATTTTCTTCTCATTTGATTGGCGCATTTTTCACTTTGGAGACGGTTACTTGTCCTTTGTCGGTGAGAAGGTTGTTTCCTTGCCATTGAGCTAAACCTGCCTCTGAGGTCTTGAAATCTTCGGCAAGCTTCTCCCATACCTTCTTCTTGGGGTTGAGCACTTCATCGGGATTCCCACTCTCATAGCTTTCCACATAAACCTAACAGAGAAAATAGTTTTAAAAATCTGAATTTGGTTTAATATAAAATAAAAGGGCAGTTGTGTCTGAAAAAATAAAAGTGATACTTAATTATTTTTTATAAGAGTGGCGTGTCTAATTCCTTATGGTACCATTTCAGCCTTATTTCACCCAAGAAGAAGGTTTGGGAGAAGCTTGCAAAAGATTTCAAGACTTCAGAGGCAGGTTCAAAATTGTGGAAGATGTTGTTGTTTTTAAAGCTTTGAAATTGGTTAATTTTGACAATTAAATGTTAAAAAACCAAAAAAGTTAATTTGTTAAAAGATGGATATATTATGCATGCTTGATCAGCTTTTTGCGAATTCTAGTAAATTTGAAATGTTACTTTATAGCTAGAATTATTTTTGATAAAATTTAAGCCTTTAGTTTACCTTGTCTCCGGGCTGGCTACCCTCTGGTGCAGCAAGAGGTTCAACTTCCCTAGGATCATCTCTGCTGCTACACAGAACCATTCCTAAACATAACTTTTTATTTTTTAGATTTAATTTTTATGAAACTTTTATGAATTTCTTACCACAAGATTCTACTCCTCTCATCTTGGCAGGTTTAAGGTTACAGAGTACAATCACTAATCTGTCCTTCATCTCAGATTCAGGGACATAGTCAACCAAACCTATTTAGAAAATATTTAGACAGTTTTGTTGAGGGGGGGGGGGTAGTGAGGAACATTTGCACCCAATAGTAGAAAGAATAATTATTTTCAAAAAATCCGATCATTTGTGAGAAAAAATTTGTTTTATTTCTGACCTGACACAATTGTTCTGGGGCTGGGTTCCCCAAGATCAATCTTCTCAACATAAAGTTTTTCAGCATCAGGGTGTCGGCTCACTTCAATGATTCTTCCTACCTTCATGTTCAGCCTGAATGTTTGATACAAATTAATTGAATTTTAAAACTGAAATGGATTTCACAAACTTTTATCTAAGTGAATTTTGAATTATTAGATTTTAAGCTTTTTCACCTGGATGGAATAATATCATCAGTCTCTGGGGCAGCTGCTCCACCTTTTCCTCCTTTTCCACCACTTGGCTTAACCTAAACATTGACATAGTTGAATATCAGATTCTGATCCTATGTGTCTAGAATCATGTTGATGTGTTGCCTTTTCTACCTTAGGTGGGGGTGGGTATGCTGTTGATACTAGTTTCTTCAGCTCAGGCTGCTCAAAAATCTTCCTCACAGGGTCCAGAAGTCGGTTTAGGTATCTTTCTACAGAAGTCTTCAGGTCTCCAGGGTGAATCTTCTCTGCAGCAAACTCCTTTTCCAGATCCTAAGATATCTTTATTTTCAACAACAGAACTTTATAAAATCAAGGATTTGGTTTAAGTTGACTAAGTGAATATTCACCTCAAAAGTAGGGAAAGTAGCATTGCCACCATGATCAGCTGGTCTCTCAATGAGGAAATCCTCTCCCTTCAAAGCTACTGGAAATATCACGTACTGAAAAACATTTTATCAGTATATTTATTACAACAAAATAATACCATTGTTTTTTACCTTGCAAAATGAGAGAACTCCATTATCTGTGATGTTTCCAGGTTCACAAAAAGCTTTCTTAAGCTTCTTCTTCACATCTGCTGCAGAATCTAGCAGATCAATCTTGCTTTCTTCTTCAGAGCTGGACATCTTTGCTCCAGTCAATCCTAAAAAATGTTGAATAGTTACATTTTTATCATTATTTCTAAGATTGATTAAATATTTTATTACCTGGAACCATTGGGTTCATAAAATGGGCTCTTTTAGCATATCCCAAGTGTGGCAAGTATTTCTCAGCATAGGTGAAGATTTTCCTCTTAATAAAATCCTGTTATTTTCTTGTTCTGAATTCACAGAAAAAATGATGAGAATTAAGTTAAGTCACCTGATCCACTCCTCCAAATTGAGCATCAACTCCTAGATATTGTTCATCAAGGGCCTGCAGACCAGGGTATAGAAGACCAGAAAGTAGAGGATGGGAAACCTTAACAATTTTTTCATAATTTTTAAAGACTTTAAATTTTTTTCTATTTTTTATTTTGATTCTTATTACCTGCTTCACAACCTCAGCTCCAGCTTTCCTAGCATCATGCTCAGTAACAATACTTGACAGTCGGTAGACATCAAGAGTGTACTCCTGTTTATATTTTGGTTTAAACATGGGGTCTTGAAATGATATTTGGTTTTAAATTTGCAACCAAATTATTGTAAAATTGGATTAATCTAGTCACTTAAGTTTCAGGAAGGCCAGAAGGGAGTTCCAAATACTGTTTTTTATTTGGAAATGTTTATTTTGCTTTATAATATTTAATTAAACAGAAAATCATGTTTTTAATTTTCAAAACATTTTGTTTCACCTTTGAAAGCTGAAACTCTGTACCCCTGACAAACCTCAGTTTCTCTAGAGGAACGTCAATACTAGTCAACATGGCCTAAATATAAAAAAAAATATTTAAAAACGGATTGTTGGTTTGTTTCACCTTATTATTGGTTGAAAATTTGTCTGTTTAGGCGATTTCAGCATTGCCTTTTTGAATTTATTTTCTCACCTTAATGGCATGCTCATAGTACTCAGTTCTTAATTTGAGCAGTTCCCAAGGAGCCTTCATATTGTCTGTACACAAAAATCAATATTTTTTTACATAATATTCGGATAAAAATTGTCTTTTATTCTAAACTGAAAAAATATGTTTTGATTTATTAATGCTTGCCTAAGTATGCATGAAGGTCTGCAAACAGAATGGTGACCTCACAACCAGCTTTTAGAAAGTCAGCAATCTATAATAAAGAATTGTTACCCACTATTTTAAGGAGTTTAAAACATGTGATCATTGAATCTTAGTCTTAGTCTCTATTTCAATGATGAATATAAGAACAGTTATGCTGATTATGGTAATGCTGTAAAATTTATATTTATAACTGGTTAAAAAAATGCTATTATCTATGAAAGGAGGTCTGCAAACCCCCCCCCCCCCTCTCTATCTGAATCTGTGGTACCTTAGACATAGGAACAAAGTAAGCTATATGGGGTCTCCCAGTGGTGGCTGTTCCCCAGTATATCTTCAGATCTCTAATCTTAAGTATTTCATCTATCCTGTCCTCTCCTAGAACCTCTTGAAGGTTTCGTTTCATCAACTCCTTCTTCTCTTCTGGACTCAAGTTTGACCCTGAGGAGACAGACATCTTAGAAATAGCTTCCTCAACCGACATAGTTCCAGCAAGGAGTTGTTTTCTTTCTAAAATATTGAGTTATTTAATAAAGACAAAGAGCCTTTTCAGCTTTAATTCATTTATTTTAATTTTTGTTCAGTGCAGACAGCGTACCTTGCTTAGAAAAGGATTTGATATGATTAAACCAGCGGAGAAGGTTAGGAAGACTTGTGTCTAGTGGTTGTTCTAGATCTTTTAGAATCTGAAAATCCAGCAAGGAAGGATTCCAGCCAGAGATATAGGGTTGATCAAGCAATAGACTATCAAGCTTGGGACCAAGACTATTTAGGCTCTTATCATAATTCTCTCTGAAATAATTAAAATTGTTTAGAGTGTCTTCTGATGGTAACCAGTGGTGGATGAAGCTGCGTAGTATTATGGACATTTTGGCACAGCATGATTCTACTTATGAGGTAAAACTTTGAAAATTTCTTATTTTTTATTTTATGTATTTTCAAATAACCCTCCATTTAAAGAGGGACATGCCCTTTTCCCAACGGTACCCTTCATTGGATCAATAATGTGGAAGATATCTTTGTATTTAGCTTATGAAGAATTCAATTCTGATAATTTCTTTATTGTTTCTGCAGTAGAAATTTGCAAGTCACTTAATTGGGAAAATCAACTTAAAAAAAATTTGTGGATATCATATTTATTATTGATCCGACAAAGCTTTTAATGATACCGATGTGAATATGAAATGCTACTCCATAAGTGGAGAGTCATTGTAAATTTGGTTTAAGTCCTTAAATGAATAGTAAACGTTAAAGAAGATTAGACCAAAATAATAGCATGCAATTACAGATCTAAATTCAAGCAAAAATGCAATTTTCCGAAAAATAATTATAATCACTGCAAAAATGAAGATAATGAATTTCAAGTGTATAAATATTTTTTTTAGGTGGAAGGATTGGACCCAACATCTACTACTGATGGAGAAACTATGTAAAATCTGTGAGAGTGGATCCTACATCCTTCATGACATAAATAAGATTTTCATTAATCCATATTCAACTCAAAGCTACTGTCTTTAGTTGCAATTGAATCTAAAATTAAAAGATGTGAAAATCTTCTGGACAACAATCAGTGGAATAATTATAGCTTTTTTTATAAAATGCTTTAAATGTCACAAAAGAAAACATAATATTGAAGAACCTGTAATGATCATATATTTAAATCTAACCCAGTGCATGAATTATGAAAGTTAAAATTAAAAGCTTTTAATTTGAATTAACAAATTTTCTATTAAAATGTCCAAATTAGTTGTCGTTTTACGTTTTTTAAATGCAACCTCAGTTTGGCCCAATCATGTTTCATCGTTGAGCCATATCTTAGTCCGATAAGTATTTTTAGAAATCTGTTATGAAATTAACCTGTAGCTGTGTTTAGATCTGTTAAATATACTAAATTTATCCAATAATTGTTCAGTATTCAATGTGTTGGAAAGTGGAAATGTAAAGGTCACCAAAAAGCATTGAACTAGAACGAAAATATCATATAAATGTCCCACTCTAAAAGGTTTGTAAGGATCTGGGCATTTATTTAAGGCTCCCTGGGTATATATTTTCAAAATGTAAAAATGTAATATTGGTGGAAAGGAAATTTTTCGTTTGAATACTTTTTACCCAAAAATTCATTTATTTCCCCACATAGAAAGCAAAATTTGCTTACATTCAAATAAGTTTAGCCTATTCTTGAAATAACCTTTATTAATATTATGAATAGTTAACAAAAATGTTTTTAAGATCGTACAAATTCTGATTGATGTAAGTATCTTGGCCAAATTCTTTCTTATTTCTCATACTTCACAATTACAGGTTTTAAATAGGAGGATGGTATTTTTCAATTATGTTACCTGGATTTTTAATTTTAAAGCTTTCCAAAAATGCAAAAATGATTTATCGTCAAAATTAAATCTTTTGTTATTAATTCTTTTTCATGATGCTCTTTAAATTTAAAAATGAAACACAAAAGATTGAGGGGGGGGGGGGGGGTCCAAAAATCGTTCTCTAGGAATATACCAAAAGATGTTAAGGTGATCCATGTATAAGATGGTTTAACATTTAGAATTAATATTTCTTTCATGTGTTCTTAATTTTCATCATTTCTCAAAAGACATTATATTTAATTGTTTAAGATATAAGGTAGATTTCAATTAATGAAGACAGAAATTAACTTTATGAATGAATAATACTAGAGCTATACTTCTGGTAGTGGTATACATAAGAACCTTTAAATTGTAATTTTTGGTTTTAATTTTGAAAATGAGGTTTGAGCTTTTTTAAGACATTATAAGCTGTGTCCATGGTTAAACATTTTATTTGAATTATATACATGTATCACCCGGTGTACTATAGATAAAAAAATCAGTAAAAAATACAACTACGAAAATATCAAAATTATTATCTACTTAATCAAGGGATAACAGAACACAAAAAGCAAGTGTGTTTTGACTACACCTTTTTAAAGAAGATTCCATATCTTTAAAAGATATCCCTTTAAGCCTGAAACATTAAAAATTAATACACATATTTTAAAGGACATAATTCTATCAAGTGAACTTTAAATAAACTAAACTGACGCAAGAAATATGAAAGTTGCCACATGTCTACAGTACACTGGGAATAAATTTTCAGGGATACTTTAATGGACGAATTTCAAAACTGTTAAATTCTCAGGAAACGGCATTTGATTACCTAGTTTTCGTTAAATAAAACGACAAATTATGCAATTTTTAATTTATTTTTTGTAAAAATCTTATCAAATTTTGACTTTTTGGATAAGATTTAATTATTTGTTTTCTGATTGGTATTTATCCCTGGGTTTAAAAAGTTGTTTTGTGCGCAGGTGCCAAACAATCTGCGCATGCGCGAGTTCAGTGACTGCGCATGCGTGTTTGAGACTTATCGGGCGTAATTCTTTATACGTCATTTAACTGCTGTCATGGCGACTCTGGTTGAGATCTATTTATTAGTTTTAATCCTGTGTCACCCTCTCTGCTCAAGACGTGTTCATACTTCACCATTTTGTCAAATTAGTTGAATATTATCAACGATATTTTAGTTTGTATAATTTGTCTGGCCAATTTCCGAGGAAGGATTAATAATGTATAATTAAACAATGAAATATGGCTTCTTTCGCCAAAAATTGTTGTTTTTCGCTTTAAATTGTTGCTCTCACGAATAGTCTTTTTTTGTTAGTTATAAATATTGATGATGATCAAGTTTCCCTTTTTACATTTCGTCATCTATTCTTGAAATCGAATGTGATTCCCCTGAATCACTTTGTATGTTAATTATTTTTTCTAATATTTAACGACCTGATTTGAACATTCAACATTTTTTGTCGTAGTTGACCTACAGATTACGCGGTTTTAATCTCTGGGAAGAGGGGGGAGGGCGGCAACCTCCCCTTGAGAAATCTAGGTATGGGGTACCCCCTTTCTCCTAGATGTGCTTCATCCCTCTTTTTTATTCTGAGCTGGAAACTTTTGAATGGTGGATATCGGGATTAATGCCTGATCCACTCTTTTTCTTTATCTCGAGATTAAATAATGCTTGTTCTCCTCTTGTAATTAATCTCCAGATTAATTAACCGATCGGGAATAAAGGTATTCCATTCTAAAGTTTTCAGCTCTATTCATACCGTCATATTGTTTTTCATTGTAAATGATCTATCATAGCTATTGATATGATATTAATGGTTTGGATTCATATTTGGAAATATAGCTGGCTAGAGATAAATTGTGTTGTAAATATTATAAAGTATCTTGTACAAAATCAACAGGAAAGGGTGTTTTAGAACAACTTAGCTCTCTAATATGTTGGTGTACTTTAAAAGTACATTTAATTGCTTCGAATAGATTACGAAAAACGTGGATATATAAGGAGAAGAGGAAGATGGGTAGGTCTTCTCTGGTTCCAGAATCAGACACCTGATTTGCGGAATTTAATCCTCTTTCGGGGATTTTAACCTCTACAGTATTTCGTTTTCAATTTGTATAATTTCAGATCTATACCCTGATATGTCCACAATGAACCCTGAATATGATTATCTATTTAAACTTCTGCTCATCGGAGATTCTGGAGTTGGCAAATCTTGTCTTCTACGTAGGTGGAGTGAACCCCCCCCCCCTCCCCCCTCACACATACTTTATTTACGCCCCCGCCTTCCACGCTAGCTTGACCCCCTCGCCCTCCTGCTTGTTTAAGGGTTTAAATGTTTAAAGAATTTAAGGTTATATTTTAATCTTTATTAATTGAACCATTCAATTCTCAATCTTCGCCAGTTAGTCCTAATTTAAGTAACCCTTCAAAAAATATTTACCACGTTACCTTCGCCGGCTGAAAATTGATCATTTTAAAGAAGGAATTTGTTCAAATGAACAGTTACAGAAAAACAAAAGTTTTGGATTAAACGTATAAAGACCCATAAAATTTCCTTTATCTTTTCTTTGTTTTGTAGTAGACTGGTGTCTTTATCATTCAGTTGCTAACAATTTAATTTGTTTTCATGATGTAATTTATCGAGCACGATTATTGTAGTAGTCTTCAGAAATGTTACAACTTAGACTGATTATTTAATCGTTAACAGTCCCTTTAAAGGGACTATAAGCATGATTTCAAGTGATCCTCCATTCAAAGATGGCAATACCCGATTTATGCCTTATCAGACAAAGCCTTTTAGGGTACCGTTGTAAATCGGACAGTTACATTTTTTCAATGAAGGTTAATTTGAAATTATGCTTTTAAGTCCCTTTAATAGTAATCTTTTTTAGGTTTGCCGATGACACGTACACAGAGTCGTATATTTCTACTATTGGAGTAGATTTCAAGATTAGGACAATAGAACTCGACGGGAAGACAATTAAACTCCAGATTTGGGACACCGCAGGACAGGAGAGGTTTAGGTAATTACGTCCTCTAGGACATTGATTGAATGATTGAAATAAAATTATCAGTTATAATTAACTTAATTAGTCCAAATATTGAAAACAAAATCCTTTCTAATTTTTAAAGTTTTTTTTTCTTAGTTAACATTAGTGGTATGGATCCTTGGACTTACGTGTGAATAAAATTTAATAAAAATATTAAAAATTCTCATCTGTCATCATAAATTTTATCTGGAGAAAAAATAAAATTTAGAACTTATGGCTTAAACAAATCAATCAAATAACAACACTTTTTTTATGTCCCGGGACAGCGATTATTTCTAAAGAAAATATATTAATGTTCACAAGTTGTTATTTTATTTAGGACTATTACCTCCAGCTACTACCGCGGAGCACACGGAATTATTGTTGTGTATGATGTAACCGATCAGGAATCCTTCAATAATGTCAAGCAGTGGCTACAGGTTAGTTTAACCCCCCTACCTTTATGGTTAAGCCTACATTGTAGCTTCTAGATGCGGATCCGGGATTCGCCCTTAATAAAAAGAATCTCGATCCAGATCGTGAACATTTCTGATTTTCTTGATCAAAAGAAAAAATTCTAATTTTGTTACTTCGTTTTTTTTACTTATTTTTATGCTAAAACTTAAAACATTCAAGAGATTAGGACATTCTTGCAATATCTCTTTATTCTACTCTTGAGATTAAGGTTTTAAAAGCAAAAAGTTTTTGTGTGCATTTTTTGGTTGATATTTTACCCGGATTCGGATCCTCTATGAAGCTGTAAAAATACTGATCCAACGTATCCGGATCATTAGCACTGGTTTCCCGATTCAAACTTTATATTAGTAAATACTGGGATCAATACGGGATAAAGCCCTAAAACCGGTTAAATCCCAGGTTGAAATGATGTTAAGACGCGGCCTCCAGCCCTCTCTCCTACACAATGTTTTGACAAAGAAGCATTTTTTTAATCTTTTGAAGGAAGTCCTTCTGAAATTTGCTTCTATAATGTTGTTTTTCATTGTATGTTTTTATGTTCTTCGAGACAGAATATTAATTGATTTATTTGTTAGTCTTAATCAACCCTATACAAAAATTGATAAAATGATGATAATTGATATATTTGTTTCAAAGGTTTATTTCATAGGTTTATTAATCCCTCATTTATTACCAGAATAAATGATTGATTATTGATTGATTGATTGATTGGTTGATTTGATTTGATTGATTGATCAGGAGATTGACCGGTATGCTAGTGAGAATGTGAACAAACTGCTGGTTGGAAACAAGTGTGATCTCACCAATAAGAAGGTAAACTCAAGGATGGGGAAAATTGGGGGATCCCCCCCCCCCCCCCAGGATCAATTTTCTACTTGTCTCTTTACCCCGGCCTTTTCAGGTTCATATCATCAAAATGAGCTAAATATATTAATTATGATCCAGGGGTGCGTATTTCTTTAATCTTTCCTCCTTTTATACAACGCTCCTCCTCGGGTTGTGTAGTGTGGAAGTCTCCTCTGAACCTTGCATTACAAAATTTTAAACTGAATGCCATTATTCACCAGTGCATTTTGTTTGCTACTATTCCGTTGTTTAAAATTCAAAGTTTCAGGGCTTTCAGGAGACTCTTGTTCTTTTAGACTGTGCTAAAGTTAATTATGATAGAAGAGAAGAGCTTAAACGTTATATCAAATTAGAGCTTTAACGTATCAAACTACGCGTGTAATCAACGATTGGTTTTCTTTGATCGATCTTCAGTCAGAGTCAAACCCTTGCATAATATCATATAAGCATGTTTAAGATCAGTACTTAGGATCCATTTAATGCCCGATTCACAACAGTACTCTTGAACCCTTTATCTGATCAATAACGTGGAAGATATTGTCGTTTATATAGGTTTAAAAGAGTTGATTTTGATAAGAATTTCCTGTAGTAGAAATACGCAAGTCATTTGTGTAGAAAAATTTACCAGTCTTGTCAAAATTATAAACATAGATTTCTAATGTATACCTGATCTTGCAAAGCTTTTAAGGGTACCGTTGTGAATCGGGAATTGCCATCTTCAAAATTACGCTAGCATTCATTTTAATGAATATATTTAACTTGACTATTCTTGTTCAGGTTGTTGATTACTCCTCTGCCAAGGAGTACGCTGACCAGCTTGGAATACCTTTCTTGGAAACCTCTTAAACTAGCTGAAGTCCCCGGCGTTGTACGTGGAATTTTTAATTACATCTAATTTAAAGCAGAGAAAACGATTTTTAAACTAAAAATGTCAAAATTTTAAGCCTTTGTTACCCTCAGGGTACCCATAGGTTCCCTCAATAAAATCAGCCCATTCTATTCAGTCGTTTGTCCAGCTAGAGCAAAAATATACACAAAGGAGTGTTAATTTACTCATTTTTTTGGAAATTCGAAAAAGTAGAAGAAAAATGTGTATTAATCATGATGAAAAGTTAAAAAAAAAATCAGCGCTCAACTTCAAAATTGTTTTCCTTTTTTGACCTTGAAATATATAAGGCGAATTGCTAAGGAGAAATAGCCAAAATATGACCATTTTTTGTAAAACAATGAAGGAGTATAAATAAGATGTTTTATAGATTAGTTTTACAAACTTTTAAGAAAATAAAATTTTTAAAGAAAATTAATTTTTTCTCAGTTGACATTTTTACCTTCTATTGCATTTCTGCCTGAAATTGGTAAATTATGATATTTTAGTCTGAATGAACAGTCCTTTTAGAAAAAAATTGTTCAATCAACCTAATCATTATTAAAGCATGACATCCAAGCTTCATAAATGATTTGTTTCTTGTTCTCACCTGGACTACAAATCGAATTTTACATCAAATTGCCACATTTAAAGTTTTTCTGTTTGACTGAACAATTTCTCAACAAAATTAATAAGTTCATTTGGCTTTATTTAAATTTATGCTTCAATGTATTTGGATACATTCAAATAGTTTATTACTTGTTCAACCGCCCTAAAATATGCTGCAGTGGAAGTCATTTTAAAATGAGCAAAAATATAAAAGATGTGAATTCCAAATTTTAATAAAACCTTCAACTCAATACATAATTAGTTATAAATCTTATCTTTTAAAAGTTTAATGAAAAGTAAACATAATTTCAAAATTTACAGTTCGTGCAAATGAACTATTAGTTTAAATGAACATTAGCCCAAATAAACTTCAGTCAAAAAAAGTTTTAATAAGCTTTCCTGCCTGAAAATTGGTCATAATCAAAATTAGTTGAAGTAATAATAGTCCAAATGAACATTCGCCCAAAACAAATATCGGTCGAAATTTAAAAAATTAGTCAAATCAAACTAATAAGTCGAGAAAGATTTTATGAGATATCCTGCATAAAAATCAAAATATCAAAAAAAAATACTAGATTCTCACCGATCTCTTACTTAGATTTCTTTATTCCAACATTGTCACGCCTTAACATTCCTATATGTGCTAAGCTTTATTAAATAGATTTAATGACATTAGTCAGGGTTCTTATTTATGAAGAATTACCCTTCCCCTGGGAAATTAGGGTAGGAATTAGAGGAAATTCAAATATTTGGAGGGGATGTCGATCATTTTTATTCAAATTTTTTTTACCTTAATTTTGCAAAAAAAAATTGAAAATGTGCTTCAAACAATTCCAAAATGCTTAGGAGAAAAAATAATTTTTGTTTTAGAAAATGTAAAATCCTGTCGCATTTGTCTAACTTAAAAGTAACTGTTCTAGTAATTGTATTTTTAATTTTTACATATTAGATTTTTTCGGAATGATTTTTATTTATTTAATATTTATTTAGACCATAAACTCTTTATGTTGGGGTTTAACAGGTTTTTTTTTTTCTTAATCATTGAAAATCATCTCCTATCCTCCCCCCCCCCTTTTTGTGTGCATTTTTTGGTTGATATTTTACCAGGATTCGGATCCTCTATGAAGCTGTAAAAATACTGATCCAACGTATCCGGATCATTAGCACTGGNTCATTTGTATATTGATCTTTTTCAATTTATTTTTGTCCTCTTTGTTTTCTTATTGTTTAAGTATCTAATCCTGTAAAACAGATTACCTTCAAGCAGTGCTTAGGATCCATTTAATTTTGATCCGACACTGGATCTGCACTGGAAAAAAATGGATCCGGATCCAAATCCGGATCCAGGTCATTTCTTAAAGATTTAATGATTTTTAAAAAATAAATTTTTCCGCTTATTTTAATCTTTACTTTATGAACCATTCAGAAATTAAGACATTTTTAAAAACTCTTTTTTTCAAAAGTTCAGATTTGGGTTTTCGGGTATAAATGTATTTTTTTCAGTTTTTGGTTGATATTTTACCCCTTGGATCCGGATCCGTGGATCTGCATATTTTTGCGGATCTGGATCCAGGAAGCCAAAATCTCCCAGATATAATAAAACGAGACAATTGTATATATAAAGGTTGCCTATAGCGGGCCAAACGGCTGGACCGATTGGGCTTGTTGGCACTCAAGGGTGGCGGGGGAGTGTTATAGGCTATAAAAAAATCTAAATTTTTTTTTTCACTGGCAACGTTGGGCGGTCAACTACTATTTAATATATTGTTTATTTCAGGTTGATTTTGATGAGCACTTGCAATCTTCTCAATCTACCAGTGGGTGTAATCCGGAGGGGGGGGGGGCTGTAAAGGGGAGGGGGTTCAGTAATGGGTATAATTATTCTATCAATATTTAACAGCTTGTAGTACATTGTACTGCTCATTGTATACAATGCAGTACACTTAAAACTCTTTGTACACAACGATTCTTGTCAGCAGTGCAGTACACTTTACTACTTGTAAGCATTGAAGTACACTGTTCTCCTTATACACACTGCAGTACAATATACTTCTTGTACACACTGCAGTACACTGTACTGCACCTTGTAACCATCCCAGTTTCGTGTCCAATTGTGATTCCCCAGAATGATTCCAATATGTATTATATCTGTAATATTTCGACTTATTTAATATTTTCTCCTGTCGTGGGAGTTCTTTGGGTTCATTTTCTTCCTGCTTCTTTTTTTCCAACCCCGATGCCGTGTGAATGAATATTTTGTGCATTTTAACTATTTTTTAAAATTTATCCAATTTATCGTGTTTAAATAAAAAGAAGATTTATTCACAATTTTACTAAGTTAGTACTAGGAATATATAGAATAGAAATATGTCCTCTGTTTCTGTTTTTTATAATAAATTACATGCTATTATTTTGATTTTTGATTTTGAGAGAGTTTATTAAATAAGGTGGTCGAGTTTTTTTGATTTTTTTAAATTTCAATATTGTCAACTGGTATTTGATGGGTTGGGTATTGTAAATCTATGCAAAACTACTTTGAGAAAAAATATTCTGTTTATCAGTTTCTTCGTCAATAACATGTTCAATTTCAATAGACTTTGACAATATCATCGTTTCTGAATTCCAGTTTGCAAGAAAATCGTCTTTTCTAAATGTTGCTGGTATGTTGAAGTCCTTTCCTGATCAAGCATTGTGCAATTGTAAAAGATTTTGTACAAATTTGATGATATTTACGAGAGGAAGAGATCAAAGGAAACTCCAAAATTTAATTTTTCTTGACAACTCCAATTTTTAGCAGGGATTTACAATTCAAAAACTTCAGTTTTTGAGCTCGTAAGTATTCTTAGATAAGGGGTATATATTTGAAAAGAACGAGTTTTGATGCTGTGGGGGACAAAATGAAACATCGGACAATAAAGCAAGTTTTTGATATTTTTTCCCAAACAAAAAATTTCTCTTAAATAAAATCGTTAAAAAATCTTATCCCTTGAATATCTTTCAGAATCAATAGTGAAATTTTTTGGAAGTTTTTTAAGAAATAATTAAGAAAACGATTAACATTTTAAAAAATCTAGCTTGTTTGTGTTTTTGTATCCGATGAAGGTTAAAACGGCGGAACCGATCTGTTCCAATTTTTTTGTGGGACGCTCTGTATTTTAATTTTGCGTGCATTGAATTAGTTAGGCTTGCGTTTAACCTCTAGAAAAACCATGAACAAGATACCGCCGTTCTTATGTCTTTACATGAATTTTGTAATTTTTTTAGGTTATAATGGTTCTGTTGTCAATCGGACTTGCCATAGTGGAGGGTTTCTTAAAACTATGTTTACAATTACACATATTAATCCATGGTACAGGGTGTCCCAAAAAACGTGGGAATTCAGTGACGAATTGGAAATCGTCTTTGTTATGAATTAGCATTGTAATACCTAATTTTAAAAGCCATAATATTATTATGTCTGCTAGAGTTTGTTTTATGAAAAAGGTAAATGACTGTAAAGATGTGTCTATAATGTCTCCTCAAGATGAACAGTGAAGACGGACAAGTTTACTCTGTTTGTACACTGCAATTTTCTTGTTTTACTAAGTACAACCGTATGCAGTGAAAACATAAACAAACAAAATGTGAACATAGCAGACGAAACTCTTACAGATAACAGCTTTCTCAGAAGGTATCACTATACTAAATCAAAGAATTATCTAAAAAGACGATATCGAATTCGTCACTGAATTCCCATGTTTATTGGGACACCCTGTATAAAGAGATTTTTTATTGCCTGTTCTATCATGTGTTCAACTCATGTTCAACTTATCTGTTTTTTTAAATCCAAAATTATATAATTAAATTACAAATAATTTTTGACTGAGGCGCCGCTTATTCACTCAAAATGAAGATTTTTCTAAAGGAATGTATCATTGTTCAACAGAGACGACATTGCGAAATCTATCTTTTTGCATGCATAAATACCAGGTTCCATGAATTCCATGCCAGATAGCTGTTGAACTTAATCTATTTTTTGTCCTGAATGGGAGGTTGGGGGCTTAGCCCCCCCCCCCTGGAGAAGTGAAACTTTGAAGGAAGGGGGGGTGGGAGTAAAAATACACAGAATTCTGAACACGCTTTGAATCATAACAGACCCGTAACTAGGAATTTAGGAAGGGGGGGGGGG